CCACTCCAGCACCCTACCAGGCCAGGGGTTCCCTTGGGGGCCTGCCACTCACGTGCTCCTCGAACTTGGTGATCTCCTCCTCCAGCAGGTCCGTCCCCACCTTGTCGTCCTCTACCACACACTGAATCTGCAGTTTGCGGATGCCATAGCCCACGGGCACCAGCTTGGAGCCCCCCCAGGTCAGCCCGTCTAACTGGATGGAGCGCACGCAGGCCTCCAGCTGGGCCATGTCTGTCTCGTCATCCCACTGGGAGATCAAGGGGTGGAGAGGCTGGGTCAGGAGCCTGCAGACCCCAGGGAGTGCCCCTCCCCTCACCGGCCCCTGCCCTCGCCCCCCAGGGCACAGAGGGCACGCAGCTCTCCTCTCGGCTGAACCCGGCCAGCTCCCGGCCAGCTCGCTGAGCCCACCGGGAGCCCGGGGCAGGGCCAGGGGCAGAGGCCGGGGGCGGGGTCACTCACAGGCTTGACGTCCAAGAGGATGGAAGATTTGGCCACCAGCGCGGGCCGCCCCGCCTTCTTCTCCGCGTACTGCCGCAGCCTCTCCTCACGCAGCCGGGCTGCCTCCTTGTCCTCCTCGTCATCGCTGCCAAACAGGTCGATGGCATCGTCCTCGTCATCCTCTGCGGCGGTGGCCGCCTTGCCGGCAGGGGGCTCCACTTGGCGCATAGGGGACACGTGCTGCCGTTGGGAGAGGGAGGCTGAGGGCCCCGCCCCCGGGGCCCCAGCTCTGCACCCTGGTTAAGAGGCTGTGGCGGGGAGGGGGACAGGAACACCCCCCACCCCCTCCCCAAAGGGCCCGAGAAGGGCGCGCACCTGGGTCTGTGGGGCTGCAGCCCGGTGGGTGGGTGAGCTCTTCTCCAGTGCGCTCAGCCGGGCCTCCAGCTTGGAGACAGCCTGCTGCAGACCTTGCACCACTGCAGGAGCAAAGGGGCCGCTGGTCAGACGGCGGGGACTGGGTGCGGTGCCCCACCCGTTAGGCCCAGGGCCTCACCGCCTCGCAGGCTCTGATTCTCCACTTCCAGGCTGGCGATCCGGATGGCGAGCTCACTGTGATCTCCGCCTGGCCCGCTGGAGGCCCCAGGGCCTGAGCTCTGCAAGGCAGGGGGAGAATGAGACTCTGCACCCCTGCCTGCTTCCAGGGTTCCCCCCAGTCACAGCCACTGAGAATCAGGGCCCCAAGAAAGGTGGGAAAACTGCTGGACGCTAGGAAGCAGCTCCTGTCAGCCCACTGGGTCCACCTGTGACACTGCACCCGAGGGTGGGAGGAGGCCCTGTAAGCAGGACAGCAGTGAGCGACGTCCTTGGCCAAGCGGAAGGCACAGCGCCCAGGGCAGCCCCAGCACGGAGCTACTGCGGGGCCCACAGCCACAGTCGGGTGGGAGGAAGCTCCAGGAGCGGCCTGGGCCACACAGCAGGGCCCGGCAGCGCAGCTGGGAACTGGAAGCAGGCTGGGAGGGCAGCTGAGGAGCCAGTGGGAGTCAGGAGTGCTTGCTGCAGGGGGCGCCCACTCCGTACGTAGTACCCTGCCTCCCCCAGGCCACGCACCTGCCATTTGGCTCACCAAGCCTGCCCTCGAAAGGCTTGAGTGACCTGGGGCCCCATCCTGCCTGCCAGCCTCCCTCTGGTTCCTCCCTGACTGGGAATCCCTATCACCCAACTCCAGCGGTGCCACCCAGGGAGCCCCTCAGCACAGCGCCGCAGTCCACGCCCGAGTTACACACCCTGATAGAATGGTCTAGGAGGACGGAGTGTACCTGGCCCTTCCCTGAGGGCCGCTGTCCCTCCCCTCCTTCCCTGTGTCCAATTATGAAGACTTTGGACCCGGAGCCCACCTGCCAAGCAGCCACAGAACCAGCCCCGTGGCTTCCTCCTCTGTTCTGTGTACCCCCGGAGCCCAGACAAGCTTAAAACCTCCAGGAAGTACAGGCAGACAGGTGCCTGGCTTCCTTGCCCCAGGGACCGGAGGGCAGTGCTACCCGTTGTGACCCAGCAGCTCCCTCGTCTGGCTCCTAGTAGAGCTGGCCAAAGGTGGAACGGGATGCTGCTGTGCAGCTGGGGTCAGAGCACTGGAGCCAGGAGTGGCTGGCACCACTCCCCTCCTTTCAGCTCAACGTGAGTGTCCACACCCAACCC